ATCCTGCCCTGTAGGACCTTAAAATCAAAATCAGAAATTTATTACCTGAGAGGTGTCATTTGGCACCGTGGATATGATGAGAAGTGAACAATCCAATCACCGAAGTGTGCTTTAGGGTCCCCGCGGTGCCAGCTGAGGCGGGAGCGCAGAGCTTCCAGAGACTCTCTGGGGAGGAAGTTTTGCTGAAAAGGGAACAGCAGTAGTTTTCTTTTTAGTGATGGTCTGGGAGAAAAAGGAGATCCAAAACACCCCCAAACTTTGGAGGGGAGAGGGACTCGGAGTGCGAAAGCAGGACGCCCGTCTGGTTTTCCTCCTCCGGGAAGGTCTCCGCCTCCGCCGGGGGCGTCGGTGGGCAGGATGCCTGCGCGCCCCAGGGGCTCCGCTGGACCAGGGCATCCCCTGGGCAGCCGGGGCCTGCAGCTCTGCCCGGCGGAAGGGCAAAGAGGGACCAAGTAGGTGTTCCATCACTAGGACGGAGAAAATATCTGTGTAGTTTGTGCCATCGAAGTGCTACATTGCAAAGGATTCACTCTGGACCAGTTTGAGCCACGGTTTGGGGCAACTTGAAAGACAGAGAACCACGGTGAATAGGAAACCCTTGATTCCGATCATCTTACCCTTCTTGTTCACAGTAACAGCTAGGACACTGTGCACCTAACAGTGGTCCAGGGGCCACATTCGCCATCTGCCTTCTCTTTTCACCCTTAGAATAACCTGGTGAGGGGAGGAACTGAAGTCAGAAGCTTTAGGCGCAGATGACTGAGAACCAGACCCAGGTTTGTCTGACTCTCACGTTTAGGGTTCACAGGCTGTCCTGTGTCGCCCACTCCAAGATTCACTTCTGCAGCATAGCACTGAGAGTTAGTACACGTTGGTCGGTTTCTTTTTACCCAGCGTTATATGTGGTTAAGAAATTGCAGCCAGGCTGGCTGAGTCTCCACCACTTACTAGCTGTACATCTTCTCAGTGTCAACTAAGGATCTGCAAAATGGGACTAATCAGAGCTACCCCTCTCTTAATCATCTAATTGGAGCCTAACCTCTCCCCAACAAATTATGCAAATCATCACATATGATTTAATACTGAGGACAACGCAAATAAAGTCGAACTTTATAAGCTGACTGTAAAGATCTTATATTGTCGCCCAGCAAATGTTAAATGCTCAGGCAATGGTTATGTAATCCCATCCCTACTGCACTTGGGTCAAGAGGTTCCCTTGCCTTGTGGGTAGCCATTCCCTGTTGTCTGCACAGGCCCCTGGAGTGGTAGTCAGAGCCTGAACTCCAGAGTTCAGGTTTGAGCCCTGGTTCAGTCACATTGAACAAGTTTCTAGAACTGTCTGTTTGCAGTTTCAGTGATGTGCCGGAGCTGGCTCAAATCGGCTTGCAGGAGCCAATTGTTAAATATTCCGGAAATCTGGGAACTAAACCACATGGTTGCTAAACCATAGGTAGTTTAAATGAGCTATAGTGGGCTTTTTACATAATGGAAATCAGCAAATGCTAGAAATAAAGGCTTGACAGACCCCTGTGTGTCGGTTTCTCCATCTGTAAAGTGGGCTTAACTACTCTAAAACCTAGGAAGGCTATAGTGCAATGTGTGGCGTGTAATCAATGTGAAATGGTTATTAGCGTCTGTCTTTTATGTCTTTTTCTATTATAAGTAGAAGGACAGTCATACACAGGTTGCTTACTGCTTTGACTCATTTTTGATTTTCAAACTTTCAAATAGAACCATTGAATCACAGGAGATCCCTGACTTAGAGTGATTTTTACATATGGCCAAATTGTACACCATAAAGACTGAGTGCAGATTTAGGAACCTCAGTGGTGTGGGCCTGTTTCAATGCATTTAAGCCCAATGCGTGGGGTACTGGATGCCCAGATGCCGTGGAAGTTTTAGGTTTAAAGTCTGCCTCTGTCATGGGAAAAGACTCAACCTCCTGCCAGTTTCATCCCTGTCACCCTGTAGCAGGAGAAGAAGGAGCCCAGTGACAAAGAGAAATCAGGGCCTGTAGGCAGAGGGACCCCGCGTGATTTGTACTGACCCTGTTCTGATTGGGGCATGATGTCATTTTAATTTAATTTTATTTTTTTGTGGTCCTGGGGATGAAACTTAGAGCCATGTGCATGCTATGCAAACACTTTACCAATGAGCCATGTTCTCAGCTGAATTATTTTTCTTAAGGAAGACCTCTAAATTGTGTAAGCTTCAGACCACACAAAAGCTGAATCCACCCTTGGAGGCCCCCTGATTTGGCCCTATATCTACTCCTGCCCCCCCAAAGCACCTGCTGCATTAAGACTTTTTTTGCTTTTCAGCAGAACCTTGGAAATGACATCTTTAAGCTGAGGGTTTTGAGTTCCTAACTTCTACTTCCAAGCTTTTAACTGGGATTCTCTTAGTCTCCTGGTGTTTCTCAGAGTATATTCCACCATCCGGGTTGGTGTGAAGGGGGTTTGATAAAAGTCAGCTTCCCAGGGCTCACCCCAGACGCCCCAATTCAGTCAGGTGGGGGTGGCTGCATTTTAACCACTTGATTTTTATGTCACAGAAATGTGGGGCTCCCTCAAGGGATTCTGTTCGCTTGTCCCACAACAGTTTGCTTTGTTTGACGACAACTGACACATGCCCACCTGCACAGCAATGTCAAAGCCACCCTCTGGCCCACAGCTGGACTGAGGACTGATAATCATCCTGCCAGCCAGGCCACCCAGGCCTGTTGCATATTCCATTAAGCCCTTGGGAACAGTTTCAGATTTATTGCTGGGCTTAAGTTTTTATTTTTAAGATGACAGTCTACATAGCAATTTAATGTCTTTGTTTGAACAGCCCAGCGCTGGAGCGTCTTGGCAGCCGGGGACATTTTCTCTGTAGAACCTCACTGGCTGGGCCTGGGGGCTTAGGGAGAATGAAGTTGAGCTTGGCCCTGGGCACAGACCCCAGGGTGAGGGTGTCATTTTGTACAGGTGAGGTCCTCCCAGGAGCAGCATGAGTACGTGGATCCACTCTAATCCCCAAACGAGAGGCCGGTGAGTGTGAGGCACTAGCGGTGCTCTATTGGGCACCAGTGATTTGTATTCGGTCTTCTGTCTCCTTTCCTCACTAGTAAGCAACTTGGACACCCCGGCAGGCTCCTGGCGTGGCCACTCCCGGAGCCTCCTAGGTGAACGAGCCACTTCCCCGAGTTGAATCATCCCCTCGGCCCCTAGACACCGGCTCTGGGAACATGGTGTTTAAACTGTACTAAATATACTCTCATGAGTGTCTTCTGCTTCCCCCAGATAGCAGTTCCAGGATGGTGGTGGGGGCAGATGGGGCCCCGGCAGGCAACAGCAGCAGCCTTTTGATAAGAGCTGTCAGGAGGTATTTGCTGGAGTGAAATAGTCCCTTGCAGGCACCAAAGGACAAATTTTCCTTCCAAGCTAGTTACCATCTCGAGGGCCTGCCAAGTGCTCAGGTCAGCCTGGTGCTCAGAGACCCCTGGCACGGCCTGCCTTCTCCCCCAGCTCCCCACTCCACCCCTGGGGGGCCAGACGCTAACAGCTCTGTGTTCTTTTCCCCCAGAGTGCCCTCTGTCCGTCCCAAGGTCTGGTTCTCCCTGCTCCAGGCCCGGCTGCCCCTTGATTCTCCTCTGAGTGTCCCAGAGGAGAGAACCAGCCACGAGTTCCTGCCAAGCTTTGGGGACCTCTGAGGGACAAAGACTTGTCCAGAGCCACCCACTCTGGAAGGGGCAGAGAACTAGTCTGGGACCCAAGTCCAGGGCCTCCTGCAGACAGCATCCACTCAGTCACCTTGCTCAAATGTATTTAGAGAAGGAATTTGGAGGGGGCAGCTCTCTCTCTCTCCCTCCTTCCCATCTTGGAAGTGCAGGTCTCGTCTTCCCAGTTCAGGGTAAGTTCCATGACTAAAAAGGCCCTGCCTTTATTTTTCATGTCTGTTACGCTGTTTTCCTCCCAGGATGGACCTAGAGCCACTCCCCTGGGGCAGCATCCCAGCCCCTCCACTTCCTTGCTTGCTTCTTTGAAGCAAGTTATTCACCTTTCTGTGCTTCAGTTTCCTCCTCTATAAAGTGGGGCCAACTGTAGTACCACCTTTCAAGCAGTACTGTTGCTGAGTTTAGAGGGTTACAGTAAGCACTCAGTAAATATCTATTTTTATTTGCTTTCATCTTCCTTTCTGTGCCCTCTAACCCCGTGCTCAGTGATCAGCTTAGCTCATTCCTCGGAAAATATTGATCACTATACATTGTATACATGAGTGCCAGACACTGGGTTGACCCTTAGGAAGACGTATGCCCTGACCCTAACAAATGCCTGGTCTGCCTAGTTGATACGGAAAAAAAAAAAAGTCAGTTGCTTTTGAAATTTTAATTAAGTATTGTTATTTTTCTATTCTGGGGATTGAAGCTGGGGCTGCACACATGGAAGGCAAGTTCTCCACCACTGAACTACACCCCCAGCCTCCAAGTCACTTATGTTGACTTGAGGCGGGGGCAGGGAGAAGGAAGCGGAGTGGGAGGGTAAGGACACATTGATGCTGAAAGGTCAGACCCCAGAGGAAGTGCGGGGGCTTCTGGGAAGTGAAGAAAATCAATGGCAGGGTCTTCATTTTTAGCCCAAGGTTTGGGCCTCTGTGTCTTTTTTTTTTTTTTCTTCTTTTTTTTTTTTTTCTTCTTTTTTTTTTTTTTCTTCTTCTTCTTCTTCTTCTGGGCTTCTGCTAGAAAGTGGGGATTCTTGGGAGGCTGCAAAGAACCATTTGGCGTTCTTATTTCCTTCCCTCTGGTAGATACTGGAAACTAGTGGCCATCTGTTGTTTAGTCCACTCAAAAGAGGATGTTGAGGCTTGTTTTTTCTCCAGACAAAGGGTGCTCAGGAGCCCTGTAGCCCTTGCCTTTCTCCCACAAAACAGCTCTGAGAAAGCAGCAGAGTTCTGGTCTGCGCAGACCTTCCCGGGTGGACCCCAGAGCATGGAATGTAAGGAACGCCCATCCCTTCAGAAGATGTTCTCGGTGTGCCCGTGGCTTGGGCACTAGCCCGGGGAGGGCAGAGGCTGGGGGCAGTGTGCTGTGCACACACAGGTGCCCAAGTGACGGCTGAAGGCTACTCTGTGTGCACCTGATGGGTCTTCCTGTGAGAGAGCCATGGTGCCCTTTCTGAACTGTGCCAACCCTCCTTGCCGTTTTCCTGCTCCTGTCTTGAGGGCTGCCTGTTGGTATGATCATTTCCAAACTTTTTTTTCACTTTTATTACTATTTTCTGCTGAATTCCAGTTTACTGAAATCTTTTGAGCCCCTGCACTGCATGCTCACAAGGTAGTTCTCAGAAGCTAGATCCTGGAGTGATAAACACTTAAGTAATATTTAGATATAGTGTTTCCATGACCCAATTTCTTCAGCAGATCACCAGTTAAAACAAACTGGACTCGCTGATTCTAAATTGGGATGATTTTTTTTTTTAACATACTATGCTTGATGTGGTATAGATGATGTGAGGTTTTAAGTAAGTTTTGTGTGTAGTTTCCTTGAAACTTCATTGCCAAGTAGAGAGTGTATTTGGGGTGTGTGTTCCACCAAAGCATTTGGAATTTAGGGTTAACGTTCTCTGCCTTTTCCTGGACTTGAATGTTTACACTGTTTTCTTTAATAATGCTGTGTATTTTGGGGTACTTAGATCCCCTGAGGATGTTGAGAAAAACTGGATATCAAGGTCCTACTACAATATGATTTGACTTGGGAAAATGGTCTATGCAGGCTCCTTACATGGATCTTCCTGCAGATCAACAGCAGAAATCCAAGCTGTGATCATTGAGTTCTGAGTGTCCTAGATGTCTTCTGTGTGTGGCTTTCTAGGGAATTAATGTCTGGAGAAAGTCTTAGATATGACATCATAGCATCTATAAATAATGGGCCACACAGTAGGCTGCAGGGAACCAGCCCCAGCCATCTACATGGCAGAGCTTCACCCATCTCTGAAAGAAAATGGCTTTTACTAAAGCCAGAAACCTGATAGAACCACATAACAGTAAATAGAAAATGTTTGTCCATTGTGTTCGTTTGGTAGTCTTTTTGCCATAGTGCGATTGTTGTCAGTCTTACTGAAGCTGTTGCAGTCTGGGCTCTCAACGTGTAGATCAGCAGAAATAAATACATGAAGATGGTAGTGGGGCCTTGTGGGAAGGAGCAGGTACACTGGAGCCAGCCTGCCTGGCTTTGGACCATGGGTCCCCATTTCCTAGCTGGAGGACCCTTACAAGTTACTGTGCCGCCATTTTCTCATCTGTAAAGCTGGGATACTGTTAACCGTACGAGGGTGATTTGGGGAGAACGGTATGATTTAACACAAATGAAACCTTGGAGTGGAGTCTGGTACATTGTGAACAATTTGCAGCTGTTAAATATAATTATCAGCTACTGATAGATTAGAGATAGATTTACTGAGAAATGAGTATTGAGCATGCCAGGCATGGTGGTACATTCCTGCCATCTTAGCTGTCCGGAGGGAGGCAGAGGCAGGAGGATTGCCATCAGTCCCAGGCCAGCCTGGGCTACATAGTGAGTTCAAGCCAGTCTTAACTACACAGGGAGACCCTCAAAAACAAATACAAACAAGAGCCAAATAAATTTGATGATCTGAAATGTTTTAAAGAGCCCAGGAACTAAACAAGCAAACAAACAACAGCAACCAAAACTTTTGTTCTTTCCAAAAATGCTTTTCAGTTGAACTAAAATACAATAAAAAAAAAAGGAGTAGAACAGGATTGAAACAAACATATTTTACCACAAACAGCTTCTCACTAGAGTGATCTTAAAGCTGTTAGAAAAGCATTCCAAACCTCCTTTATCATATGATTCATCTAAAATGGAAACTTTTATTAATGAAGAGGGATAAAAGACTCGAAGCTTTGTGGGTTAGGATCTGGACAGCTGTGACATCTTGGTGTTTTTTTATTCATTAAGTTCAGGGGTAAACCTGCTTGCTGTTGAGAAGGGTTGTTTTTCCTGTACATCCCAGGGCTGACTGCAGCATTTAAGGAGAGCTGAAATGGTTCAGGAATCTCTTACTTGGCATGCATCGGAAAATAGCAGTCTTAGGAGCAGGGGACCCTGAGTCACAGAATCATCTGGGGTCTGGGTGACCTCTACAGCACCGCCAGATGGAGTGGACTGGAGGTTGGGGATGACTCGGAAAAGGAGGTGCTTTTTTGGTTGGGATATGGTTTGAAATGGTTGAAGTGTGTTGCCCAAATTCCACATGTCAAAATTTAATCCGCATTATGAGGCATTAAAGAGGATGGAGACCTATTTGACTATGGAGTGTGGGAGATGATCAGGGTAGACCCCACATGACTGAATCCTGGTGGTTTTTGACGACAGACTAGGGGACACATACGTCTGTCTCCCCAGCTCTTGCTATGTGATACCCTGTGCCACCTCAGGACTCTGCCAAGCTAAAAGCTATCAACCAGATACAGCCCTTTCATCTTTCACCTTTTACCTCCAGGACCATGAGCCAAAACCTCTTTATAAATCCCTTAGGTATTTCATTATAGTGATGAAGACCAAGGGCGGAGGATTTTGCTCAGTGGTTCTGCTGCCTGCCTCACAAGTGAGTTCAATCCCTGGTACCCGCCCCCCAAATCATATAGTAATGAAGACCAGACTAAATACAGATGCCACTGAGGCAGGAGGATTGCTACAAGTTCAAGGCCAGCTTAAGGTACATAGTAAATTCTAGGCCAGTCTGATCCACATAGCGAGACCCTGTCTCAAAAGTAAATAAATACATACAACTGCATGAAGTGAATTGTGGTTGTAAATGCTGGTCTACCAAGATCTGCCTGTCTATACTGATATCAGTCTAGAAGGATTTTTAAAAGGCAGGGAGGGAGAGGGCATAACCAATAGCTTTAATCAAACTTGAAAGTCAATCTGGAAGTCTTGAAAAAATTCAGACGAGATCAGATGCGTTCAGGGTGATATGGCCGTAGGCAGTCTAGGAAAAAGTCAAACTAATATTTCTGGGGAAAGGGGAAACCCATGACAGATAACACTTAGGTAGAAGGATCCTAGAGGCACCTATGGGGCAGCAGGTGGGCAAAAAATCAAGGACTTTCTCTTTATCCAGAGTGCCAACGCCGGAAAAGCAGTGTGTTGTTAATGCGAGCGGCTTCATATTTGTGTGCTTTCTAAGTCATGCCTACAAATCCCATGTGCTTCTATAATTTCCTTACATTTGATGTGAAGGAGGTGGGAGCCCAGGAGAGAACGGTGAAGGACCCATGCATTTCCTGGAGCCCTGGGGTATATACAAGTGGTCCCGGTGGGGACATTTCCCTTACTGATGCTCGTTCCATCCCGTGGCTCCTTAACTGGGTCATTTTTCCCTCTAGGCCTTGTTTCCTCATCTATAAATAAGGGGGTAAGACCAGGTCTTTGAGTTCTGAGCTATAAAACTTCTTGTTCAGATGAAAACTGACCCAGGCACCTAACTTCAGAAACGATTAGAGTATGAATTGAAGGGAGGGGGTGGTCAGCAGCCGTTGGCCAGCGGGGCCAGCTGTCTTCACTGTCGTGGCAGGCAGTGTCTTGGCTAAGCGGGAATCCACCATGTGCTTTTACTTGTAAGGCAGCATGACAGCAAAATCCCTGATATGGTTTATTATTGAAAAGAATGCCAAGAGTTTTGGAATCCCTGCAGACCAAAGCTGCAAACTTATGGCCAGAATCATTTTACATTGGGGAGAGCACTTGCAGCAGCCTGAAATTGTTCCTGGAACAGTGCACCGTGCATCTCTGTGTTGATTTACTGGGGACCTGTCAAACTGTGTTCCCCAGGCACTGGGCAGAACAGTAAGTCGGAGAGATGCTTGGCAGAGAAAACCCTGCAACAGAAATTTCTTGTAATGATGATCTTTTCATTTGATATTTGGGAAGAAACCCGGTGTCTCGGAGCTTGCCATCCCAGCCTTGACAGAACGAGCAGGAACTAATTGAATCTCCAAGCTGGAGAGTCACTTTACAAAATCATCGAGTCCATTTGGTGGTGTGATTGAGTAAGTTTGCTTCTCCATTAGAGGAATGGATTGGTCCCAAATAATGGCTTTGTCTCATGTACCCCAACAGCAATGGGTATCGAACCACAGGCTCCCCCGGGTTTCTAGCTCTCTTTTACTTTATTTAGCCTAAATTGCTGGGAGGTGGAGTCTTTATGGATTAAGAGTTTAATGGCTATGTTTTGCATCCCAGTAAGACACCAGAGATCCTAGAAGCTGTTATTATTAAGTCTGGTGTGTTCTGATAGGAATTTTCTCCAGAAACATTTTCAGCTAGATGATCTCCTAGCTATTTGCAGCAATTAATATTTATGAGACATTTTTCATTAATCCTTTCAAACTTATTTACTTTGCCGATTTCTTAATTAAAAGTTTATTTTCTCCTAGATCTTCCAACTTTTCTTTACAGAAACCCGTCTCTAGCTTTGAAGTGAACATGTCAGCGGAGAAAAATCATTAGCTATAAGAAACGTGTCACTTGATAGTCATTATTTCAGGGAAGTTGAGACAGGAACTAACGTGTTGAGCATCTCCCATGATCCAAGTATACTGCAGGCTCTCTTAGGCGCTGCCTCCCCGACTCCCACCCTAACCAATGGATGTGTCGTCATTGTACATATTTACAGGCCTGCCTTTCTCCCCTGTGCCATCCTCCCTCTCTCCCTGCCTCCCTTCCTCCCTTCCTCCTTTCCTTTCTCTTTTTTTTCCCTCCCTTGCCCTGGGGATTGGACCTAGAGCCTTGAACTGAGCTATATCCCCAGCCGGTCCCCCACTCCCTCCGGCACCTTTTTTCTTTTTGAGACAGTCTCAATAAATTGCCCAGGCTGACCTTGAACTTGCATTCCTCCTGCCTCTGCTCCCTGAGTGCCCTACTTTGGTCCGTGTGGCATTTTAGCGCCTGTATACAATGTGCGATGATCAGATCAGATCAGGGTAGTTGGGATATCTACCACCTCAGACATTCACTGTGGGGGGCGGGTGTTCCAGAACTTCAGTCACATCCCCGTGGTTGGTTTTCCCTTGGCTCTAGGACTGGGCCAGATCTGTACAGTGAGACATATTTGCGTTGTCACTTCCTGCTTCAGCCAACTGGCCGAAGTGCATTGGTTGGAGATCCCGATCCCCTTTCCTTCAGTTAAGAGGGCGTTAAGTGCCTGTGGTCAGGGAGTGGAAGGTGTGCACCGAGCCATCGCCCATTCACCCAGTGAACCGAAACATAAGAGGGTTGAAAACTCAGGCCTCCCGACAAATGATACTAAATGCAGTATTAAAAGTATTACCAGGCGTGGTGGCGCACGCCTGTAATCCCAGCACTCAGGAGCTGAGGCAGGAGGATCACTGTGAGTCTGAGACCAGCCTGGGTTACATAGTGAGTTCCAGGTCAGTCTCAACTACATAGTGAGACCCTGTCTCAAAAAAAACAAACACACACACACACACACACACACACACACACACACACACACACACACAAAAAAAAAAAGTATCGAAGTTAACACAGAAACATCCATGATGAACCCAATAGCAAAAGCTTAAAGTCTGGGCAAATAACAGTGGAGACACCAACCCATATTGGAGGCAGAGATTAAAGGGGTAAATAGGAATAAGGATCCTGTCTTTGTTTAAAATTTGGTATTTTAGCTAGGCACTGTGGCGCATGCCTATAAAGGGAGGTGGAGGTGGAAGGGTGGTGAGTTCGAGACCAGCTGTGCTACGTACAGAGACCTTGTCTCAAAAATGAAATTTAATTTTGTTAATTTTTAAAATTCATTTTGACTTTTTAAAAATACTGCATAAAGGTATTTATCTTGGTACAGGAATAGTTAGGCAACTCTTTGATTTTGCACCTTCACCCTAGCCCTGGTCGGTCCTGCATCTTGTTTTTCTTTATGTGCCAGTGGTAGATTATACAGGATGAGGACCTGCGGAGTTCTCAGGTTCAGTGGGCGTCAGTCCCATAAACAGTGGCAGCGCAGGGCAATCATTACAGTGCAGAAGGAGCGGGGGAAGGAGTTGCTTCACATTCCACAGGCCCAGGGTGGGAGTGAGGCTTACGGCTGCCTGCCAGTCGGACAGCGGTCACCATGGGAGAAGGATGTGTCCGGAAGTGTAGGCTGCTCACTCTTCTGAGCCTCAGTTTTCCTGTCTGCACAGCAGAGGAGAAAGGGCCTCCCTGCTGCAGTGAATGCACTGGGCGATACAGCCTGGCATGTAATGCAGTGTGTCAGCCCTGAGGGTGCTGGCTGCCGTCATATGCAGGTTAACAGGTATCTTTATACACGTTGTATGCAGATGACAGTGTCCTGGCCTTGAAGCTTCCGAATTTTGTTTTGCAGACATCCATGACAGTGATGGTAGTTCCAGCAGCAGCCACCAGAGCCTCAAGAGCACGGCCAAGTGGGCGGCCTCCCTAGAGAATCTGCTGGAGGACCCAGAAGGCGTGAAGAGATTTAGGGTTTGTCTCTTTCATTGTTAATCCGGATGGATGCAGTCCATCCAGAAGTTTAGATGAGGTTAGGGTAAAACGGGCCAATCTTTGGCACTCTCTGCCCCAGCTTGAGAGTAAGAACTCACCTGCTGGACCACTTGGCAGTGCTCCTACAGGTGCCCTGAACTCACACCAAGGCCCTGCAGTCTGTCCCTGGTTTTCATGTGGTTGGGTAGTAAGGGGTGTAGGACCATGGGGAAAATGTACCAAGGCCAGTGGTGGAGTCTACACAGAGAATTTCCAGTTCAGCCCGGTGTGGCGGTGCACATCTGTAATCCCAGCACCATGGGAGGCTGAGATGGGAGGATTGCAAGTTTCAGCCCAGCCTGGGCAGTTTAGTGACTTGACAAGACCCTGGCTCAGCAAACAAAAGAAAACAAAACAGGGCCAGGGATTTGGTTCAGTGGTTCCACTGCCTGCCTCGAAAGCGCAAGGTCCGGAGTTCGATCCCAGTACAAGACAAAAGACAAAGCAACCCAGAGGGCTGGGGGTGTACCTCAGTGTGAAGGCCCTGAGTTCAGTCCCCAGTAATGCACACAGAAAGAGTTTCTGGCTCTGCGTGTCGAGCACGTGAGGTTTGTTCTCTCCTGTGTCCAGTAATGTCCAGGTGCGCATCATCGCCAGGGAGAAAGGCTGGAAATAGCTGGAAGAGCAGAGTTGGGAAAGGGAACCTCTAAAGGAGAGCTGACAGACGAGGAAGTGTCGGTGCCACCTAGAAATAGCATTTTTGGCCTGCAGAACACCCAGGTGCCAGGTGGAGGACCACATGCAAATTCTCAGCATGAGCCCCAGCAGTCACTGCCTTTCAGGGTGGGTGCTGCGGCTGGGGAGGGAGGTGGTACCAGGCTCCTGGTTCTGGACACCAGGCCACAGACATCAGGAGGCCTCTACACAGCAGAGCCTAACACCACACCAGCTGCCAAAAGAAAATACACCTTTTGGTCTTCATCGTGGCCTTTTAGACATGCTGAATATGTTTTCTTTGCTTTTGCTAAAAAAAATGGGCCTGGTTTTGGAGGAATGTACTTTGTTTAAACAGTGTCTAGAAGAAACTAATACATCTTCTACTTTAATTTACTTTTTGATAATTTATTGTCAGCTTAGAAATGGGAGTAGATTCCTGCTTCATTTTGCCCTCCCTTACAATGTCAATGCCATTAAGGTCAAATGTATCTGAAATTCTAGCTTTCACTTTAAACACGCTTTTTGTTCTTCAGGGTAGAGTTTAATTGAGCCAGGCTTATCTGCTGGATTTTTTCCAAATCAGTTCTTAAAGGAAACTGCATCATTTAAAAAAAAGAGTAGAAACTATGTAATTTTCTTTTCTTTGTATCTATAGGAATTTTTAAAAAAGGAATTCAGTGAAGAAAATGTCCTGTTTTGGCTTGCCTGTGAAGACTTTAAGAAAATGCAAGATAAGGAGCAGGTATGCAGTTGCTTTCTTGTTCATTTCTTTTCTTCTCCTTATCCAGTTGCAAGTGCCTGCCCCATAGGTTTTGAAAGTGCCTAAAGAAATCTGATTTATGTTAGATTTGGAGGAAGATTTCAAATCAAGTATTTTATGTTGATCAAATTTAGTAATTAAAAAAAAAAGTGAGTGAGGCTGGGCTTGGTGGTGCACGCCTGTAATCCCAGCACTCAGGAGGCTGAGGCAGGATGATTGCTGTGAGTTCAAGGTCAGCCTGGGCTGAGTTCAAGGCCAGTCTAAATGACAGAGTGAGACCTTGTCTCAAACCCCTCTGCAAAAAGAGTGAATGAACCCACTTTTAAATGGGCTGTTTAAATGAGTCAATGTTTAAAGTAAAATAATGATTAAAATCATTAAGAGTTTGTTATTGTGCGCACATTGCTTCGCCATGAATAGATCATGAGGATGTTTGGCATGTTGGCAGTTTTGGACATAGTAAAATGATAAGCAGATGTGTAGTGATAAAAGCACAGTGTTTATCAGATGGATTGTCAATTATTCAGTATTTATTTATAAAGCATTCCATAGTTGCAGGCAACCAACACGGCAAGTTTCTGACTGTTCTCCCAATAGATGGTGTGTTATTGGAGCAAACCTATAATTCCCCCATGTTGGCTGCATTTTTTGCCACTGAAGTTTGGCTTTAGGGTGATGGGAGGGATTCTGGAGGAGGCTTGTGGATCAGGTGGGTTTTGTGTATAGTATTTCTAAAAGGCCAGCCAGTCACCTGAAAGGACAGTCTGCCCTGCCTCCAGGGCCTGTGCTGTTTGTTTAGGGTCTGTGGGAGGCTGGGCTTCCCTTGTCTGTCCTCCCCCGAGCCTGCTCATTCATGAAGCACTCCAGATCTTGGCTTATCCACTTTTGTCCCTGGTTGCCTGCGGGGCCTTCCTTCCCAAGTGTCTTCTCCCGTTTTCAGCCCAATGCTGTCTTTTTTTTTTTTTTTTTTTTTTTTTATCTGGA